AAACTGAGGCTATGAAAAACAACTTCTCTATTTTACTGATCATTAATTTAAGAACATCTAAGTCAGACTTTTTATTTAGTATCTGTATATACCCATAGCCTTTATCTATAGTCTAATTGTTTTTAGGAATTCTTGTACCCACAGCCCTTATTTATGGCCTAGCTGCTTTTAGGGATTCTTTATTGCCTTAAACTAAGGCTATAAGGAAGAATGTTTATAATCACTAAGCCTAAGCTGGTAGTAATTCAATTAACAAATCCTGTCTCCTAGCAGTCTTAAGAGCATTGTTATTATAAGTATTAAAACTACCTATGATTACAAGTAGTGTAAATGTAGCTAATATATGGCTTCTAACTTTTAATAAAAATATACTAAAGTGTAGGAAAGTCAAAATCTAAAGTAAAGGGATACTAATAAAATCATGAATAAATCAGAGAATGATTCAACAAGAGAAAATTTAACTAGAGGCCTGTGCATAAAATAATTCCTTGTGGCTTTGCCATCCAAAGAAAATAATTCATTGTAGCTCTGCTAAAACAATGAATTCTTCTATGCCTAGGTTTCCCCGTGTCTCATTTCTTTATTTTAATTCCTCGATTAATATGTCTCAATATATTCATTTTAATTCCTTATTAATAAAATTCCATATTATTATTATGGCCCCTGCCACCTAGAAGCTAAAATGGTCAGATAACTTCTGGGTAGTTTCCAGCTGGCTTGTTCCAAAGGCATATACTACTTTTTTTCTGTACTGTCTCTCCATAGTCTTCAAGACCTATTGGAGGGTCCTCCAAAGATTTCCAAAGAAATGCATTTTCCTAAGAGGGCTCTTCCATTTATAAGTTTCAGATTTAGTTTCAGATTTAGATTTCAAATGGTGAAGGAAACACAGGTCAAGAGGATTTGAGCAAGAAGTTCACTGTTTAACCTGCTAATATTTTTCTTTCATTTTAGGGAGATAACTTTTTAAAAACCTGATAGAGACTATACAATAAAGTACTTTAAAACCACCAATAATGCTTTGAAATAAAACCGTTTCTTTTTTCCAGGATAAACTCAAAGCTGGAAATGCCCTAGCATTTTTGGGTCTTGAGAGAAAACAATTTGAATGACTGCATTTACTACAAACTTTCAAGAAGATATTCTATTTTTGTTTTAAAATGTATTGCGTATATATCACTAAACTCTATTTTGAAATAAGTTCACCCAGAATTAGAATATCCACGACTATCCAAAACAAAAATTCACACATTTTCATTCTGAAAAGTAATACATAATTTCACATGTGAATAAAAAATAATAATTGTCCCAGAATCTTTTCAAATTAGCTTAGCAGAAATGAAAAGCAAACTGTCATTAATGAGTTATAAAAAGATTACACCAGATTCATCAGGTTTTCTACTTTGAGTAAGTCTTTGTGAATTAAGCCCCAAATAACTTGTTTTTAAGTAAATTTTAACACATTCCATTAACCCAGAATTGGTCAGGAAAAACTTAAGCTTGTTGTTGTTAAGTACCATAAAGTTAGTTCTGGCTCACTGCAACCCTGTATACAGTTTCCAAGAAGCAGCTAGTAAGCTTGAACCACCAACCTTGCATTCAAACCAACCTTGCAGTCCAGTGCATTAACCCACAGCACCACACTAGGACTTCACACAAAAATCACATATTTATTCTGTAACCTCAAGGAGCTTACAGTGCAGTGGAGGCTGTTAAAGAGTTAAATAGACACATATTCATGGAATAATTACCAAGCAATATAGCATGAGTGTCAAAAATATTTTAGTAAGAAGAATTCAATTTGGGCAGATTTTCATAGAAGGTGGAATTTAGGCAGAATATAAAATGGATACAGTTTGTTTAGGATTAGAGGACAGAACACAGAAAAGAAGGTAAATTGATGGGGACACTTCAGAATGAATGAAACATCTGTTTTGGAGACAAGTTCAAGTCTATAAATGTACGTTTTCCAGAAGCCTTTTTAATTTAAAATACTGAGCAGAATTTGTAAAGGTAATTATGGGGATTGGGAAGGTGAATCAGGGAAGCTTCATTCTACACAAGTCATTGATGGCCCCACTAGACTGTTGAAAATGTACCTGGTTCTGTGAGGAATGATGGACAGCTGTGGCCCCTCTGATGGAAAACTGAAATAAAATTTTCAAAATTAATCTCTTACTTTGGAGTCATTCACACTTATTTTCCCTGAGGTGAGTATTGGTGTGTAATTTGTGCTGGCCTTCTCCAGAGTTGTTGTTAAGTGCTGTCGAATAGGTTCTGACTCACAGTGACACTGTATAGGGCTTCTAAGGAGCAGCTGGTAAGTTTGAACTGCCAACTTTGTGGCTCGAAGTCCAACGCCACACCAGGAAAAAAAGAATCTAATTTTTGTTAAACTATTCCCACCCCATTATTTTCACTCTATTGTGTTCATTGCCCCTCCTGTTAATTTCTAAAATTGTATCTATTGTCTTAGTCTAGGTTCTCTTGTTTTGTT